TTACCCTACCCCATAGATTCTCGAATTTTAACGCGCGAGTACTGTAGGTGACTGCGTGCATGAACCGATGTGAAACAAAGAAAAAAAAAAACAGTTTTCACACTCGATAAAGTCAATATAGGCATACGGACCGAACTGGTTCCGAAATGTTGGATCCGGCCGTAAAGTGTGTTCCTGCAGCTATATATAAGGTCGTCTTGTCCATTTAGTGGTGGTCTGGGTGAAGATGAATCGTTTAGGTGTTATCGGGAAAGTTGAGCTTAGCCGCGACAAAAATATCTCTCCCCCGTATAGGTTCACCTCTGATGCAGATATGCAGGGCGTTTTCGAGTATTCGACGCCTTTGATAAGATGTAGCAGACCGTACACTCCGTCTTTCGGCGACAAACGCGAAGCTTGCAAGAGCGCATCCGAGCAGCGCGTATAGATGAAAGTAAAAACGATTCGCTTTCGCGTGCTATGTAAATGGCTGTATATATGTTGTTGCAGCCAGCTCGGCTTCGCATATACCTCTACGCTTGCCTTTTTTTTTCTATTTGCCTGTATTGCATACGCGGAAGACGCTATAGTCGTCGCTCGTGCGACGGTGCGCCGCGTGCGCATATGCATATTACGTACACTAGCGTGGGCGTGCGCGCTGTCTCTGTGTCGTCCGTGCCTTTGTGCGTTTTTAGCGACGCAAAACACCGCGTCTCCTCCCGACGCGAGCGCGCGTTCGCTTTACATCCGCGACGCATGCTTTCTCCCCGGTTGGCGCTAAAAATACCGGCATACACGTTGCCGTGGCTAAACGGAGTTGGAAATGCGGGAGGCTTCGCAGAGACGGAGTGGCTGGTGGGTCAGAGGTTGCCTTTTTGTGCGTGGCCGTTTCTTTTTTGTTTGGCGTTTATACTGCATACAGTGCTTTGCTACAAAACGCGATCGGAGCCCCCCATTTTGTATGGTCCTCCTTATGCAGCCGTCTATATGTATATATTTAGTTTTCCGCTTCTCCCTTTGTCAACCCGTCATGCTTTCAGAACTTTATAGATACGGAAGTAAATGTGGGAGGGCATCGGATGGCTCATTTCCCCTCGTTCTGCCTGCTTTTGGCGTACGGCTCGCGACACATTTCCTACATAGTGAAGGAATAGGAACAGGAGGGGAGAACCCCTTAACGGCATTCTTTTTTACACGTACGCGAATAAGCTTTCTTTTTTAATTTCTTGCACCCTGTTCTTCTTCTTTGCAAGTCCTGCTGCAGGAAAAAAGGTTATATGAGTGGTTCTAGGCCGTGGATGTTGCGTGGACCCCCTTTGATAAGGTGATAATAATGAAGGACCCCTTGCAGCGTAAAAAGAAAGAAAGAAAGGGAAGGTGGAAAGAGAGTCATAAATGAACGCATGTAACGTGAAACAGGTGCTTTTCGTTTCTCTCCGGGGAAGTCTGGTCGAATCGAAGTTCCTCGCCACTTGGATCTCAACAGCCTGTCAATAAGTCGTGCGGCCTGCATCTAGCTACATTCAACCTGTCTTCACCTATTTTGGCTCATCAAAAAAATGTCCTGTGGTAAAGCTTACCAATATTCATGAAAGGCCCATTATGCGGGAGATATGTAGTATGCCTCCAAACCACGTCTTTGTTTCATGTTGCGTTTCGCGGAGCCCCGTTTGAGAAGCACCGGCTCATGTCGTGACTGTGTAGTGCGGCTGTCGGGCACGCTGTCGCCGTCACTGTTTGTCGACCGAAAAGCGTTCACGTCGCGCGTGCTCGCCAGTTTTCGAATGCGCCGCCACGCTCTGCTGGCGCTCTGGCTCGCCGCTGCATCGGCGGCATCAGCGCCGTGGAGAATATATTCCGTATCCTGTGCGCATCTATGATAGATCTGCGCGGAGGCGAAAGTTGCGTGCTTCGATACCGTAAGCTTGTACCGCCAGTGGGGACAAACAAAATCAAGTGTTTTATGTTCCGAAAACCGCGATGTGGTCATGAGACCCGCCGTGATACAAGGCTCCGGAAATTTCGATGGTCTAGTGTTTTTCAACGTCCACTGACACGCAGTACACAAACCTCTGGTGTTTCGCCTCCGTATCGAAATGTGACCACCGCGGACGGGATTGGATCCGCGACCTTCGGGTTTGCAGCATGGAACCATAACCACTGCGCTTCGCCGATGACATTGCATTGCTGAGTAACTCGGGGGACGAATTGCAACTCATGATTACGGAGTTAGGCAAGGAGAGCAAAAAGGTGGGTCTTAAAATTAATTGGCAGAAAACGAAAGTAATGTACAACAACCTCGGAAAAGAGCAGCGCTTCGAGATAGGTAATAGTGCACTTGAAGTTGTAAAAGACTATGTCTACTTGGGGCAGGTAATAACCGCAGAGCCTAACCACGAGATTGAAGTAACTAGAAGAATAAGAATGGGGTGGAGCACATTCGGCAAGCACTCTCAAATTATGACAGGTGAATTGCCACTATCCTTCAAGAGGAAGGTATATAACAGCTGTATCGTGCCGGTACTTAACTACGGAGCAGAAACCTGGAGACTTACAAACAAAGTTCAGCTTAAATTGAGCACGACGAAGCGAGCAATGGAAAGAAAAATGGTAGGTGTAACCTTGAGAGACAAGAAGAGAGCAGAGTGGATTAGGGAACAAACGGGGGCTAAGGATATCATAGTTGAAATCAAGAAGAGGAAATGGACATGGGCCGGGCATGTAGCGCGTAGACAGGATAACCGCTGGTCATTAAGGGTAACTAACTGGATTCCCAGAGAAGGCGAGCGGGTTAGGGGGAGACAGAAGGTTAGGTGGGCAGATGAGATTAAGAAGTTTGCGGGTATAAATTGGCAGCAGCAAGCACAGGACCGAGTTAACTGGCGAAACATGGGAGAGGCCCTTGTCCTGCAGTGGACGTAGTCAGGCTGATGATGATGATGATGATGATGATGATGACCATAACCACTGCCTAACCGCGATGAACCTGCCGGTACCGAAAGGTATCTATCTAGATGTGGTGACATTTGATTTAGCTTCCTATGAGATGGGCATTAACGATATGTGGCAATGCGTAGTTTGCCTGGTTGTTGTGTTAGGTTCGTGTCGCAGATCAAATGTAATAAGTAATTAATAAAAGCGATCACTGTGCTTAGTTGATGATCGAACCGACGACATCTATAGTACCGTATTTACTCGATTGTAACGGGGCCTCTGTGTAACGTGAAGGATGACTTCTCGTTGTCACCTGGAAGATAAAAAAAATTGAATGCTGGTATTGGATTGTAATATGGGGGTCGACCTTAGCAAACATTTTGAGGAAAATAAACGCGCTACATTCGAGTAAATACGATATATACGTAAGAGCAGGACGCATAAGCGGCGGCGACGGCCTGCGGGTGTCGATTTCGCGAGCCTCCCATGTTTGGCATGTCGCCCATGCGTCGCGCCAGGCGCCATGTTTCGTGGCAACACCCCTGGCGCGAAATAAAGCGCGGCGGCGTCCTCCTGCATGCATAAGTTCCGCGTACCCGGCGCAACCTGTGCGGCCTCCGGTGCCGAGCGATTGCGATTACTCGCGCGCAGCGTGTTATGTATGCGTGCGTCGAGGGCGCGGTCACGCATCGTCACCGATGCAACGACACGTCGCAGCCGACGAGAGGTCGTTAACTTCCCGCCGACTTTCCTGAAGCGCTGGTGGTTTGGTGCACGTGTCGACATTGTTGCGTTCACACGCGCGGCCGTTTTTCTTAATGTAATAATGAATCTACGGTTTTAATGCTCTGTTCGGAGCAACAGATACGTGGGTGAGTTCGTAAGGATCCATTATGCATTCTTGGAAGCGGAAAAACATGCGACGTATATACACAAAACAATATATTAAAGATGAGTGTGGCGCGACATTACCGGTTCCTAAGTATAAACTTAAACTATAAGTGAGCGCTCGTCTTGTCTGGTTCTCCTTGCTTGTGTATCTTGTCTGCTCTGCGCTTCCAGGTGCCATCTGGACTGGAATATTCAGAGCTCACTTCTAATCCGAAGGTCGCGGGGTCGATTGCCGGTCGCGGTGGCAGCATTTCGATGGAGGCAAGATGTTAGGCGCCCGCGAGTACGCCAGATTATGGAAATTTCCGAAGCCTTACACTGCGGAGCCTCCCGTCATCATATCGGGGGATTAGGACGTAAAAGCTTGTTATTATTGAGCGGTGTTTGCCGTAGGGGACTCTATAAACGGTTGAGAATTCCGTCTTACCTATACCTGATTTTACTTTTGTACCTCGTTATGAAGGGGAGAAGGGGCGAATCGCTTTGAAGGCATGTACGCTGACCAGTTCCGCGATGTTCAGAAACGGCCTCGTTATCATATCGCCAGGTGAAACTTCTGGCGTACCTGATAGTAGCTGTGCCAATGTTTCATTTGTGATTTTTGTAAGCATGGGCTGCTGCAACCAACATCTGGCTTTTTAAGCTAACGAGCCAATTTTTTTACTGACGTCTCAGTGCCTGCGTTGAACCCTTGCCGTTACTTGCCAGATGGTAGCGCCACTACGGAAGCGTGAATTCTTCCTGAGCCGCCACGAAGTGTGGGCCTCTATAAGGGTGCAGCTCTCCCATAGTGCAGTCTGCCGTATTGCGAATCGTTTACTTTTTGTTCTAAACACACGCGCTTACGTTAGCACTGCGTTGTGACAGTTCATAAGGGCATTCATGTCTTCTTCTTTTGTACCCATATAGTAGTGTACATCGTACTCGAAATTCTCGAACATTGTGTGGGCCTCTGCATTAAAAGTGTGGCCGCAATCGCAAGCGATTAGTAGCACGTGAAACGGGTCTTGCGTGAAAGTTCCGGAATTTTCACACGTGCGTGAGTTGTGCAAAGAGTGTTATATTTCTAACGACTACATTGTCCTTTGGCATTAAGTGTATACAATCGATGATGGCATTTACATTCGCCCGTTTGAGAGAGAGAGCTCAGGTTTCCAAGTCTCTCAACGTACACCCCCGTCTCTTTCTGTGTGCAGCATCAGCGAGTGCTACTTTGCGGTCAAGGGAACGGCACTGGTGCTTCCTCATGACGAGTCCATGCACGTCTACCGATGCTCCAACAACAACGTCGGTGAGTAGTACGCTGCGAGAGCTTTTTTTTTTTCAGCAACCAATCACGCGCGTCGTGACGCACGTGACAATCGCTATTGGATAGAACACTCGGAGAGAGTGAAGCGTAGTTTTTAAATTATACCTTAGTTGCACGTATGTTGCCAATAAATCGGGGAGAGGAATAGTTTGGCAGCTGACGACTGAGCAGTATCAACTTTTCGATTAACTTTTAAAAATATTTTTGGGAGCGCGTATTATTATTATTATTATTATTATTATTATTATTATTATTATTATTATTATTATTATTATTATTATTATTATTATTATTATTAGTGACTATAGTACTTAAGCAATGGCTTAAAAAGAAAACAAGGATGGAGCTCCAACACCAATGGTTATCGCGCCGTGTTTGTATGTAGATCTCGTGTCACACATTTAATTGGACACAACGTTTCTCCGTCCACTCAGATCATGCGTTTGATCCCTATCGCGGCTGATGCATTTCGATGAGGATGAAGTGCAATGGTGCGGTTTACTAAGGCATCTCCCCGTTTATGGTCGACAGCGATCCGAAAATCCACCCTTACGTATCCGGACTTCGTACAGTATCGGCTCCTAAAGCCCCAGAATCATTTATATTTCAATTTTTGGCATAGCAGTTTTCGCATGTGAGGGTCACCAAAACTGAGACTGTAGTCACTCATTTTCTCATTTTTTCTTGCCTTATTGCAGCGCTGGCCTATGGTAATCTTCACGCGTAACGTCAACATAAATTGCAGCGCCTCAGGCGAGAAAACCGCATTGTGATTTATATACCTTTAAAAGAAAAGATTGTTTCCTCGACAGTGGACAAATTAAAAAAAAAATGAAACTACGTTGAATTCAAAAGGCTCCATCGAAAACCGCACGCCCACGACTGATTTGGCATCGTCCGCGTATGTTGGCTCGGCCGCAACACTCAGTTGCCGAGCTGAAAAGAAAGCTTTGCAGGGGCACAGACATTAGTTTTTGGTAGAGAGTAAAGCGTGGGACAGACGTTTTCAAACGAGTTGAGAGGCAGACTGTTGTAGGTGCCAACTTTCTTACACTTTTAAATGCTGGCGTGCCATTATATCATCAGAAAAACTAAATATGCAAAAAGAGTGAGGACGCTTTCCGGTGCGAGCGTAACTTGAAATTGCTACCATTACGGTTTACCTCGATATTCGCGTTACCACCGCGACGTTTCCCGAAAATAAAGACACTTACACTGTCATCATAATGTGCGTGGTAAGTAATAATACGTTCCCATGTTAGCACGTTGGAAGTGTTAGTAGCGCCAAATAAGCCTATTGTGCGTGTACTTTGTCATAGCTGCTTTTGTAATCTATTTATCGCCTATTGCTTTCTCACCTGCACCGCCTGCATGTTGGTACGGAGGCTCAGCTTTGACGAAAATCCATGTTTGTTTAGGCTCTCCACATTACGAAGCGAGGGAACCTTCGTTTCATCTCTCATCAATGGTAGAGCTGAACCCTGTTGGCTTTTCTTGCCCATGATGGAGAAGTATACCGTAAATTCGAGACACACACACACACACACACACACACACACACACACACACACACACACACACACACACACACTATATATATATATATATATATATATATATATATATATATATATATATATATATATATATATATATATATATATCCGTTCACATCGTCACGTTTGCGCTGAACTATAAGTTCCACGAAGACTTTACACGTTCTTGCGCGCAAATGAAAAGCAGCAGTCACCGAGGCCGCTGCTGGTACACGAACCTTTATTGAGCACTGCATGACCAAATAGAAAATCGCATGATAAAGGTAAACTTACGGTTACGAAAAATATCAAAAACGCAGAACACCAGCTTAACTTGTCGCTTTAATAACGATCACTCTGTTTATCATGATGGTCGTGCTATAGGCGCGCATTTATATGCTGGATCTGTGTACATATGGCTCGGCGTTAGCGGTTAACAGACGCAAAATGTCTTCTTATCGTTTTATCGAATAATAAGGGAGGCTATTTGTCGATTCATGTATGCATATTCGAAGCGTCGCAGTTGAACGCTTCCCGCTTCTCCGATAGTGGAAACAGGGCGTTGTTAATCGCAGTCGGTGCGGCCACCAACATTCGCTGGCCGACAAAGTGCGTGTAATGGCGACTACGGGTCAAACTGCACAGCGTCTGGGCCACGCCGATAAAGAAGGGGTGGTCCGGTGCTGCGATGTCCAGCCCTTGCACGGTCGGAGCGTCGCGGAAGTCGTCGGACATGTGATACGACAGGTGTGCCACTCTAGCGGCGAGGGCGTCCGTCCTGGACTCGTTCTTTCCAGCGAGCCGCTGCTTCGAAGCCCGCATGGTGCCCAATGAACGCGCCAGGAAATTTCCCTCCGATGATGACGCCGCCTGCGTGGTGCTCTTGAAGAACAGCTCGGTGGACACAGCCGTGGCTAGTAGGATACCGAGGCCATCGTAGTTGAGGGAAGGTAACGACCCCTCGACGTAGTAGGGTGGCTGGACGATTGCCGACAGGACGTAGAAGCGTTTGTCCTGGATGTCGTACACGGCCAGCCAAGCCAGATCGAACGCTGCAGAGCTCAGGAAGGGTCCTCCGGGAATATGAGTCGCTCGCGGCCTCACATGCTGCGCGCCGGATCGAAGCTGCACTGCTATATCAACCTCCCTATTGAAAAAACGCCCACCATAGGAATGGTGGATTTCACCATCCACCATTTTTGGTGGATTATGGCGGTGAAAATGTTGGTGGCACATGGTGGAGCGGATGGTGAATGGCGCGCTCCAGTCGGCAGATCTGGAGCGCGAAGCAGCGTCAGAACCACCGTGACGAGCTGCCACTAAAGAAACAATAAAAATAATTGTATGAAAAACCATGTAGAAAGCACTTGCAAAAAAAAAAAAAATGATGCGACAGCGCAGAATTGAACCTGCCACCTTCGGATTTCTCACTGAGCACACTAACCACTGCGCCACGCTGACTTTTTTCTTTCTTTAATGAATGAAATTATCACCAGTTAAGTACACACAGCATACTTCATCAGAAGTCAGGCAAACACGCACAAGCGTCAAGAACGGGAAGCCACTCCGGAACGGGATCAAAACCGACAGATGGCAGTTGTGGTGTTAAAGAAGTAGCCAACTCACAAACTCACTCTTACACTTCAGTTTTGCTGTCGCTTACTGGAGATTGACGGGATCTGCACCTGCTACTAACATTTGCACAATAGATAAACACTAACAACTGCTGCCTGTAACAATTGCCACTGCGATAATGGAAACAGCGCTATGTTTTTGTTGCAATTTACAACCGCAAGAAAAAAAAACATAGTGGACTGAGGAGCAGGTAGAGTTTATCGGCGGTTACTGCCAAGTTTAATATCCGTTTCTCGCTCCTTCCAAGGGGCGATATATGTTCAGGCTTCATGACGCTTCTATGCTCATTCGATAGATACGCCCACACAATTGATTGTGATGTTTTTTTCGTGCAACGCACAGCGCACCGCTGTTGCTCTGTCGTTAGTAACTACATAACGGCTTGTCCAAAACGAATGCAGTGCGCCAGAAACATTATGCTATCATATTGGTTCAGTAAGCATACGAATTGACGAGTCTGTGTTCTGGCATAAGAGCCAGTGAAGTGCCGGCGAGTGCGACCGGCGGCTGTCCGTGAGGGGAAGCGTACATTTGGTGGAAGTGCTGCAAGCGCGTCGCATCGATGTTTGTCGCCTCTTGCGCGGACACCGTACACAATAAAAAAAAGGCGTCGTTTAGGTTAAATGATGCCACAGTTGTGCTGTATTGTCATTTTTAATCGTCAAAATTGTGCATTCTGAAACCCAGAAGCGCCGATAACACTTGTACGGGCTCGGTCGGCAGGATTAACCTTTGGTGGAAATTGTAGTGGTAGAACAGAAGTGTGAAAGTCAAATTCGCTGGGGCTCGTCTCGACGCATGTCGAAAGTGAAAGTTTATGCATATTAGCACGCACTTTGTTAACTTAAAAGTACGGCTCAAGCAATAGAGTGTGCAAGAATTGCTAAGGTTGCGTTTCTAGCGTGGTGACATGAAGTGACCGCTGTGTTCTGCTCTAACATTGAAAGGGGCAATTGCGAACTGGAGCTCATTTATTTCTCGACAACTGCGCGCCGATGTAAAACATTTATTGTCACTGTTCACAGTGACACCTCCAGTCTTCTAAACATCACAACAAAGAAGCACATCACGGATTTCAAAATGATGTAGTTACGTGCGCGAAATGTAAGCATATTCACTGTCGCATATTGCATACGCTCCACAAAAATTGAAGCGTTGTTGACACCACTGGAATAAAAAAAAATAAACGTGCTAGAAATCGTAATGAGCAGCGTTGCTTTCTTTTGACCATAAACATATATCTCTGCGCATTCAAGAATGAAACACTAGAAATAAGTGATTGCGCATTCACATGTGCTTTTTTCATCATGCCACCATCATTTACCAAGCTTCCATCACGCCACCGTCATCCCCCTTACTCACCAATCCTTCTACCAAACACGTCCTGCCTCGCCACCATGAGCCGCCATTTTCCACCATCACCACCACTGGTTCGCCGCCACCACCACTTCCTGCCACCATATTTTCCCCTCTAGCCGTCATCAGCGATTATGCCCACTACAGTTCCCACCATACCCACTAATATTTCCACCATATCTGCCAATGATTCCAGCATCCATCAACCCAGGATTTTCAATAGGACAACACCTCCTCCTCGCCCCTCCATTTCCGATGGAGGCGGAAATGTCGTAGGCCCGTGTGCTCAGATTTGGGCGCACGTTAAAGAACCCCAGGTGGTCGAAATTTCCGGAGCCCTCCACTACGGTGTCTCTCATAATCATATGGTGGTTTTGGGACGTTAAACCCCACAAATCAATCAATCAATCCTCCTCGCCCCTCGCCAGAAAACACGCGGCCGAGGACAGACAAGAT